ATTCACTTCTGTTTATCTGTAAGCACAGCTGAGACAAACGCATGGACTGGACTTTTCCAGTCCAAGCTGCTAGGAAAAAAAAAAAAAACAGATTTGACACTTTATAGTGCTTATATGTAACTAATATTGCTGCTTGTTTGTTTTGCTAGTGGATCCTGTGCTCTGGAGTGGTTTTTATTAGGACACTGAAAGCATTCCGTGTTTGAAAATAAGATCAGATGGCCAATATTTTTGCTACCAACGGGTAGTTTCTGTCTGAGCAGTTCAGGCCTGAGTGTAGTGGGTTTGTTATGTTTACTAAGATTTATTAAATTATGTAAGCAAGTTATTTGCTTTAGTCCACATGTAAAAATATTTTGATAGAGGAGTAAAAGATTTCTTTTCCCTCTTGAAAGCTAAATCAAAATGAAAATGAGTTAGTTATGTGATTTGCTGCAGACAAACCCAGTGGTCCTGTGAAAAGTGCAGTTATTTTAATAAATCAGTTTTCATTTCAGAACTAATAATTCACTTTGACTGTTGTATTGGGTGCTCTGCACTGCCTGGTCAGGGAGTTAGGAAAATTGTTTGCAGCCTTCTCTAGCCAAGGCTTACTGTCACTACAGCTCTGCCTACCTGATTGTATCCATTTCCCTGCTCTTGGGTCATGGGTACCATGGATGGGACACCCGTCTGAGCCACGCAAGAAGAATTCAGTGGAGGAGGAATTGAGAGTCTGGAGCTTTGTCACAGGAGAAGTTGAGTGGAGACAGGATGGCAGAAGTACCTAGTGCCACATGTGAACAGACCAGCAGAAGGGAAAAAATAGGTCCTGGACCTAAGCTGGGAAAATAGAAAACAGTTTTAAAACAAGAGTGAAAGAAGGTAACAAGGAAAATGAAAAGGCAAAAGGTCCATAGGCATATTAAAAAAAGGGACTTATTCCACTGGGTTTGTTAATTAACTTGGTGTTTTAAAATTTCCATTTCAATTCTTTTATCAGGTGCTCTTGGAAAGAAGCATTTACAATCTTCATAAAAGCAGAAAGAAGGTGGGAGTTGAAATCTGAACCAGTGACATCAGGTTATACAACTTTTCAGCATAAAAGCTAATAAAAACATTAGTTTTTCCAAATTTTCTCCATAGTTCCCAGTTTACACTTCACTTCCCAGCTATCACTAGGTAATTTCAGAGACTGGAATAGTGCAGCAACAGAACATTTATGGTAAATGGTGAAAGGTAGGTAACCAACCACAATTGTCTTTCATGACAAGCAGGCATTTCAAGTTCTTGGAGGAAGCAGATGGAGTCCCTGGTCCCAGGACTGACACAGACTGAGAGCTGCTACAGCAGGGCACAGAAAAGGGGAGATAATTTGGGATGAGGGGGGTGGGATTTCCATAGGTTTTTCTTTCAGTCAGTAATGTTTGTATGCTCGTGATTCACAGTGCACTGCCTGAACTTACAAAGCTGCTGTAACAGCACAAGGCTCTGGTGGAAATCAGTTTAATTGAGAGCTCCTCTGTGACTCAGGTACCACCATCAGAACAGAGGTGATGCAATTCTTGCTCACACCATTCTTCATATTTACAGCTGAGGGAATGAGAAAACAGCTCCAAACCAGCACATGTAATAATTTTTTAGGGAACTGACTCTGCCAGCTGAGACACAATGCTGCAGATAAGACTAGTGAAACCTTTTGTCACACGAGTCCTAGTAGGCATTGCAAGGTGTCACAGGACAAAGACCGTGCCTCTGAACTACTGTGAACTGAAAAAGGTCTGCTTTTATATCAGAAGTGTTATAATCCTGTCTAGTTAGACCTTTTAATCCTTAATTTTAGGCTGTGCTAAAATGGACCTCTGGCCATGCGCATCCTACCTTCTGCTATTAATTCCTCTACTTAATTATATCCTCTGCCTTTGTGTGTGTGTGTGTTTCTGTTTCCTGGGCTGTCAGTGTGAATGAGTCACTTTTACCATCATTGCAATGTCACTTTAGGCCCTTTCCTAAGGATGTCTTTTTTTGGCTACTATGGGAAATGCTAGTTTTATTTTTCTTTTTCCAGTTAGCGTGTTAGAGATAAATGTCGCACTGGGGAAAAAAAAAAAAGTTTGTGACTAAACGTTCAGGGAACTATAAAAATTGGTGTTGACTGCTAGGTTTAAAAAAAAAAATAAAAAAATTCCTGTCTCCAAGGGCTGCAAACTGCATGAACAAGACAGTCACTCAGTTTCATATTTTTCTGGTTTTGGCAAAAATTAAAAATCTTGGTCTTCCTTCTGTTTTTGTTTTGGGTGTCAGGAGGAAAAAGTTTTGACTCTAAGGCCAGGTAGTAAGGATTTGTTACTGGGAGCTTCCTTGATGCTTGTGGCCTGCCTTGGCTATCTGTATTTCAGCCTGAGGGAAGCTAATGGCACTAAATTAAAGCATTTAATTAACTCAGTAAATAAATCAGTGCCAATTATTAACCACAGACCTTTGATCTCCTTTGTCAAGTAACATTCTTGTTGTCTGTTAAAAAATGGCTCATTAAAAGGTGGGGAGTTTGGGAGCAGTAGAGTGCCAGTTCCTGAGGAATTGTCTGTATGAAATACAAGTTAATGACACAATGATGTAGAATATTAATGCTGGACTGACACCTGGCTGTCCTAAGCTATAATCCTTCTGGAGGAAAAGGCTTTATTTACTCTCAGAAATTTTCAGAATATAGCTGAAATAATCAGACAGCTAAACATGACCTATTTAACATTGAAACATTTCCTATTTTTCTCATGACAGACAGTTTTTCACTAATGCATGCATTTGACATTTTACTGAGGCAAATATCATAGATGAAGTGTTTTGAATTTTGCACTCCATAGAAATAAAACAACAACAACAACAAAATCATCAGAGTGCTTAAAAAAATACACCAATATCATAAGAGGCTTACAGGTTTAAAGTTCTGTTACTGGGCAGCTGAACATCCAGTCAGAAAACCTGGACTTTTTCTAGAGGGTTTGGGTTTTAATTGAAAATCCAGTGCCAAGTACACTTTGATCTGGGATTTCTTTCTTCCTTCAGGAATAATAAGAAATAATTAAACTGCGGAAGGATTTAGGCATTTTATTACCAAAACCTTCACCCCACTCATCCCACCTCCACCCAGACCTGACCCGAAGTTCTGGGACTGTGTGACCTCCTGGGAAGGGTAGCAGGAAGATAAAGAAGGTTGTGTTTGCTCAGGACACTTTGCAGCAAGGCAGATATGCTGCTGCACAGCCTGCGCTGTTCCTGTTGGGAACTGGCCCAGGCATGGAGATGCCCAGCTTTTGACACACTTTTGACCCTTCCTTTAAGGGAAATGTAGGAGTTGAGTAGAAGAACAGAAATACTGTGCCCTGGGAAGGGTTTCGTTCTCTGTACAAATGTAGTAATTTGTCCTCACAAACACACAGTGACAATGCTGTGTGGTAGCTCATGATACATAGAATTCTATTTCCAAATGAAAAAAAAAATACAGGAACTTAGAAGGATTTCCATTTCTGCCTGATTGCCTGTGTTCTGCTTGGGGAAAGGCTTTTGAGAATATGGGATAACTGACTAAAAACTGATTACTAAATTTTGCATTCTAAATCTATGCTCTGTGGGTTCCTAGAAGATGGAACCAAAGCCTCAATTTAAGTAATAAAAACCCAAACTCAAATAGAGTTTTGCTGAACTAGTGAGAGTTTTGATGGCATGGAAAAAGTCAAACACGGAAAATGAGGGCTCAGGGACAAACATGGAATTAATCCATGGGTTACTGATGTTGTGGATAATTAGCAAGTTCCTTTATGAAGAGCCACAATTGTGCCAATGATTACTTGAAAGGAAAACAATGTGCTAGAAATTTGCTCTTTCCCGTGTAATTTCAAAAGCTGCATTTTGTAATTTTTTATTCCAGTGACCTCACTGGAGCCAGGTAGTTTGAAAATTATTACTTTAAGTATCAAATCTGAATATTTGATGATATTTTTGCTTTAAGTGAGCCCAGACCATGTCAAACTATCACCAGCTTTGTTTATATTGTAGTGCTAATTGTCTGTGCAGTTCTTTGATTTTTATTTTTTTTTACTCAATGTTTCTCCCCATATCATTTTTATTAGTTGTGGATTTATTTTAATTTTAGTTGATGTCAAACTAACATAATAAATCAGATGTCTCTCAAATCACAAAGACAGTCTTGGACAACTTCAGGTTACCGTGTACAGAGTTACTGTCTATTTTAAAGCATGACTGGACTTTTTATCAGGGGTGAATGAAAAGATTGTTATGACTCTTTTTTTTTCCTCAATCTTTGGAAAAAAAAATGCATAATTACTCCAAGGTTAGGTGCTACAAAACTTTGTATATAAAGGATTTTAACACTGGAGTTCCAGTTAGAATTGTGATGAAAGAGGCTACTTCTGTTTCTTTGAAAAATACTGTAGCTCTTACTCATTTTTTCCATTTACAGGGTATTTCAAAAGTTGCGCATTGGTTTCTAATCCAAGAGAGGTTATTCCATCTCTGCTAGAAAACAATAATTTCTGAATTTGTTCACAGAATTAAAGAATAGTCTTTGAGGAAAGATTTTAAAATCATGATTAAAAGCACAAAACAAGATCTGTATTAGTTTGCAAAATGTTTTGCCAAACTGTATGTGGAAAGCCTTTTATTTGTTGCTGTAGATGTTAAGCTTAATATTTGAGTCTAGAAGGAATCAAAGACATGCAATTTTTTGTTTGTTTTGGCAGGAACGCATTATGATGTGGAATTTACCATGGTAATGTTTTTTTGGCTAAGGTAGAAATTCCCTTAAAACCAAAATTTTTCTTCCATTACAAAAGAAAGAGAACAAGAAGTCTCAGTGTTTTTTATGATATTATATACTGAAGCCTTCTAAAAGGCATTGTCAAATTCAAGATTACCTAAATAGTTAGTGCTGCTCATTATTTCACCAAGAGTTGTTTTTAAGAATTAATTTCCTTTTTATTATATGCTGCAAGATGGGAAAACACTGAATATGCAAGATGGAAAAATTGGTAAGTTTTCTGGAGAGAAATGAGAATTGTGGCTCTGATTTGGTGAAGACCATGCTGTCTTCACAGGCATGTAAAAAAAACACTCAAGACCAAACTGTCTGAAGTCTAGGAACTTCCTAGCCCTTAGATTTTTAGGTTTTATTTACTTAATATTAATTAACGTAGCAAAAAGAAATTCAGTAATGTACTTGAAGAGAAGAGGGTACTACCCTCTATTCCCTATTATGAATAAGGAATTGATCTGATGGTAACAAAGATATTGGGTCTATTTCTAATTAAAATCCAGAGATCCTTAAGGAACTTTTAGTTGGGCAATATGTTTGCAAAAAGTTAAAGCAAAAGTTTTCTGGAGTTAATTTCACGTGTGTGTGCATAACCTCATCTTTAACAACCTGAATATGACAGCTGCCATGGAACAAAAGTGTTTTTCTTCTGTCAATGATTGCACTGGTTTAAAGCGAAAAATAGCTCTGAACTTAAGTCAGGTTCTCAGTATTAAAGAAACGCACAAGATAGTAAATCCTGCTTAAAGCTCTGAAGTCCATGTTGCAAAAAAGTTCACTGACTCCTCTGAAATGCAACTTACTCAAGAGTCTGGGAACTTGGTAATTATAAATTGATTAAATATTTGTTAAAAATGTTGTGGCAATGAATCTAGGCTCTGCAGGTGGAGAAAAACTTATTTGCAATATTTTGACTTGGCAAGCAATGCCATATTGTGTAATTAATGCCAGGACATTAAAAGTACCGAGTGTTACGTTTTGTGTCGTGATATGCTCCAGAAGGTGATTTCAGCTGGGGTTTAGGATGAAAGCAATGGCAGTGCTTCTAACCTGGACTGGAGATGGGATAGGAGACCTGCAATCTGCTGAGCACAACTGCAATCCTTGTCTTGTGTTTCATTGTGCTTACAAGAGGATTATACCAAAAGAGCTCACATTGTCTCCAAAGCTCCCAGTTTGTGTGTCTGCCCACAGGGCTGTGCACTGCCCCACTTACGACTACTGCAGAATGCTCAAGGACTGACTTAGTCAATTGCTGTTTTTATGTCATACAGGGAAGATGAAGGGAAGAAAGAAGGAACACTCCTCATCTTCACGCTTTATCTTGCTGCTCTTCTGTATCGCTGGGCATACAACTGCTGAGCTGGATGGCAGCAAAGAAGAGCATGTTGTGGGTAAGAGATCCCTGGGCATACAACTGCTGAGCTGGATGGCAGCAAAGAAGAGCATGTGGGTAAGAGATCCTAGGAAACACCTAAAACTCAACCAACAAAAACCACTCAAACAAAGCCCACTATGTTAAAATGCACTGCAGACGTATTTCTGTACTTGAGAACTTTTGTGGGAAACTTTGAAAATTTGGAATAAGCTAAAAATAGCATCTAACAAGGAGAGAGATTCTTATAATCATCTATTAAGCTTTAGCCTTCTTCTGGGACTTCTGTTTCCCAAGCTATTTGGAACATCTAATCCTAATCAAACACTGGGTTAGATGTCAAGATGATTCCTTTAAAGCTGTGCTTTAGGAGCACGGAAAAGTTCAATGTTCAGGCAAGGAAACGTAGAGCTGGTTAACTCAGGCTTTATTTCCTCACACAGAAAAAGCAAAAATATGATTAATACCATTGTAGATTGATGTTGCTCTGTTCCACGCACAGATCTCTTGAGTCACAGTCAATTTGCAAAGTTGGATTTTAAGATGATACAATTACTGTCCTGGTAGTTTTCCTGAACCTTAATGAAGGTCTTAGTATTGCCCAAGTGATTTGATATCACTGAATAAATAAAGAAGTTGGACTTGATCCTTGTTAATACCTTCCAACTCAGGATATTCTACAATTCTATGACTAAAAACTCACCAGTTGAAAATTTTTGTTGGAAAAGCAGTGTGACTGTTAGAAATGGGGATGTTCTTGATTTTTCACCATGGTAAGATCATTGTTTACTTCACTGACATTAAGATCTATCAGAATTCTAGACTGGATATCATTGTGAAGGGTATTTCAAATTCTCCCAAACAATTATGAGAAAGCTGAGGGAAAAATACACTGCTGGGGCCACATTAAAATACTCCTTTTTCCTTTGAGGAAGTGACTTGAAAATGTGATCACTTCCCTAAGCTGCAGAGGACTCTGAAGTGGAGATTTTTGTTTGACAAGTCTGATTTTGAAGTGCAAACGAAAGTGTAGCTAAGGGGAACATTTTTGTTATGTTTTGTCTTATTTCCATCCAGATTATTGCTATCAGACTTTGGCAGCAGTGTTCTTTGAGACAGAAATAGTTGTTGTGCACAGTCATGGCTATGCTAAGATAGGACCATGTCACAATTAGTCACTACAATTTAATATATATGCTGTTCCAGGTTAAGTGTATGACTAGAATGGCTGAGTAGTAAAGACTGGTTCATGCAGAATAAACTTGCTTCTTTTAAACTCTGCATTACAAAAATGCCCTTTTTGTTTGAGGGCAAAGTCACATTTATCTTTGCCCCACGACTCTTAGTGCTGTATGACTTCTTAGCCAAGCTTGCAGGTCGTAAAGGCCAAATCAGCTTGCACACGTTGTCACCATAACAAGAAATCTAATGGCTTAATTTTTTTCCTCTATTTGCTTTGTTTATAAAAGAAAATAAGTAAATAATCTCAAGGAAATTAAATAGTCATTTTACTGGGGATTATTTTCTCATTGGTTATTTTGCAGCTGGTTACTTAGGATTATGTGACCACTAACTGATTTAGTATGAGAAACAATTCTGAACTTCTGGCTTTAATTCTGAAGTAAAAACCCATCAGATGTGAGGCTTAGATATTAAACTAGAATCCTGGTTTTTTTGTTGTGACTACTGAGAACTCAGTTGCAGTGTTTACAATAAAAAAGCTTTTGCTGTACTCTTTTCACTAAATATTTAGATTGTTGTTAATTAAAATTTTATTTGTGGTTTCAAGATTTAACTTCTGATCTCAGACTTTAAATGATGAAATTTTGTGGGCTGCAGTATGATTGATAGCATTTATTTTTGAAGTTAGATGATTATAAAGCAATGACATTTTACCCCAGCATTCCATAAATTTCAGGTATTCAATGATAAAATTAATTGTGTACCTCCATTATTTTTAATGTCATGCTTTTGGATCACATTGAGTACAAGTGCTTTGTGAATTTGAGAGGTGGGGTTTTGTCTATTTTAATTACAGTAATAATCAAGACTGCAGGGTCAAGCCTCATGTAATAAAAATATTTTTAATTTGTTCTCTTCCAGCAAAATCTGTCATTTTCCCATCAATAGATAAGTGTAATAACAAAAATGAAAGGTATAAAAATAACCAGGTTCTAAGTATTGTTCATTAATCCCTTATGTGGTAGGCAGCACTTTAGCTGATGTTCCAAAGCCTGAAGAAAATGACTCACAAACTGAATGTGCTTTTTATTCGTATGTGAAAGCTTGCCAAGAATAAATGTGCCTGCCTATAAAAAAATGCAGGAAACACAGGGTAGGAAGAGCACTGAAGAGTGTGTGGGTGGGAAGCTGTCAAATTGACAAAGATGGAGAGAAAAGAAACAGCTATTCATTAGTGACAAGGTGCTTAGTATTGATACCACTTATCAAAAGGAGACATTGCCAAGGAAGGTTGGAAAGATGACAGCATATCTTTATAATTAAGGATAACCATGGGAATTCTCATAAAGTTAAGAACACATAACCTAAGCAAACTAAAACAAAGTATTTTTATATAAAAATTTAAAAATATTCATGTTCTTTATTCTCCCAATTTATATCTCTCTGTTCTGAAAAGCAGCTCCTCCATAATGCTTATGCATGTTTATTGTGCTGCAGGTGTATAGAAATCAGTTCATTTTCTAATTAAAAGGAGGTCTTTTTATCAAGCAGCCACAAGATTATCCACAAGAGTCTGAAAGCCAAATTAGAGTCTTTTGTTATGCCTACATCCAGAGGAAAGGTATTGTTTTCACTTATACCAATGTAAGAGGATTATTCACTACTCCTGCTTTTGTAGCACTGCCCGGCTTTCTAGTGAAGTGATAACAGAGCCTTGCCTGGATCACCTACAGCCCCTGTGCTCAGGGCTGGCTGCAGCTTTTTAGAGCTCTGTCAGTGAAATGACTGCACTGAAATGAGGAGTGGTGTCCAAACTGTCCCCGTGAGTGCCAGAAGTTGCCATGGGAGTGACAACAAAGGTGAGAGTGGCTGAGCTGTGTAGGAGCTGTCCTGGCCCCGTCTTGTTTGACAGCTGCAAAAGGCAGGAAGGGTGAAGGACTGGAGGAAGACAGGAGTGGCAAAAAACACCTGCAAGGAGCTCATTCTCCTTGCAGTCATTTCATGGGCATTACTTTGGTCTTAGCACTGGGCAGTGCAGTGGCTGTTAAACAGAGCAATGGGTGTCTAGTGCTCATGTTGCTGATGTAAAGAAGTCATTACATTGAACACCAGCTCTAATCATTATTTAATGTACTTATAACAAAATGTCTTGGTTTAGGCTAGTACAGTCTTACAATTATACAGGATTTCTTTATATATTTGGACCAGATGTCTAAATTGGATGAGTAATAAATATACAACAGAACCAGATCTAATGTGGGGGGTTAAATTATTTTGTTTTCAATGATAAATGTAGTATTGCTATACTTAAGAAGGAGAATTAAGGCAATCATCAATACAAGATGGAAAATCCATGTTGAAACACCTGTATAACAAGGTTCTATTTGCTGGAAAATCAATGGAAGTTACAGAGCATCACAAAATTAATTCAATGTTTAAGTGATTAGTGTTAAAGTCAATGTCAAAAGGCAAGTGATTTTGTGTTGGATTATGGAAAAAAACCCAAAGGGTAATTATTCCACTGTATTTGTCACTAGTAATGTGTCAGGTAGGGGATTATATTCAACTCTCAGCAGCATATTTTACCAGGAACCCAGACCAATAGGAATCATCCAAATAAGAGTTATGAGAGGATTAGAAAGCAAGGCCAATAAAAAGATGAGAAGAAAGGAGCTTATTTAGTGTGGAGATAATTAAGAGGAGACAAAATCTTCTAATAAAAAGAAAGCAGACAGAGGTTTGGGCTACAGAAGTGATGCAGTGAGCGCAGGGCAGCTGCTGCACCACCAAGGCTTCAAGCAGCCAAGGAAGCAACTGAACTTGGGGAGCCCAAAATCAAGGTTGAGAGTGCAGGAAACAACTTTCTCTCCTTCAACAGCCTTGAACTGCAAGACATGAATGGTGGATTGGAAAATCTAAACTGATTTACCATGTGTGTATATATATGGGTTTAAATTGTTTTGTCTATGCATGAAGGAAGTAAAAATTCTTTATTATATAATAAAGAATATTCAGGCAGTATGTTACTAAAAAAAAGGGCTGTCTTACAAGGAGAGTAGTGAAATCTAGAACTGACTGCTTCAGATTGCTTGGAATTTTACTTCACTTGGATGAGAAACTCCATTAACATTAATTCAAGTGTGATCTTCCTCTCTTTCTGCTGAGGAATTTTCACTGAATTTCCTGACAGACATCTTCACTGAATGTCATATCCTGTGCTTTTCACACAGCACCTAAAATGTAATAACACTTTGTCGCAGTATTCAAGAACAGAGGATGAGTCCTTACACTAGGAATTATTTGTGTCAATATTCCACAAATTAAATGGGTACAGGCAGATGTGTGTCTATGGGCAAATATTACTGCTTGCCTTCTCATCTGCTGCTCTAGTCTGAGAAGGAAAGCTAATTTTATATCATCTGTGTGAGTTAAGTGCTCCCAGGTGTAAAATAATGGGGAAGAATTCTTTCACTGTTTCCAGACAGAAGAATGATTCAGTTCCGACGAATCCCTTGGAGACCTCTTTCTTCAGAGTCACTTGGTTACTGTTTGGAGTTGGAGGGTTTGGCCCCTGGGGCTTTGACAGGGTACAGATTTTACTCAAACTATGGCAGCTTTCTAGCATTCCTAGGAAGCTGAGTGATTGCCAAGAAGTGTGACACAGTTAGTCATTATGTTCTCAGCAGATGTCAGGACATCTGACAGTGGTTAACAGCATCCCTGTGACTGCAGGGGAAAGGCCTCAGGAGGTAACCAAAACAACGATGTTGTTCCGTGGGTCTGATAGGAAGTGGGCTAGGAGCGGAGAGCAGAAGGCTCCCAGGATGAACTCTGCTAAGCCATTTGTTCATCCTCTTGGTGTAGTTTTGCAACAATGCTTGCATGCTGTTTTTGTTTGGATAGCTCACCACACTGAGGTGGTGCAATGCAGCAAGAAAACGAGCTGACATAACTGTGTGTCTGAAATTTCAGTGGTTAAGAAACCTGGGGAGTTTTCACAACCTCTTATAGACTGGACTGGGTCACTGGCAGAGGTCACAGAGGGGATCTCATTGCTGGGGTGCCAAGAAAATGACGTGTTCACAACCCAGCTGCCAGCCCTCACCCCAACCACTTCTGAGTTGGACTGGTTTCTGTGGAGCTCTGAGTGTTTGATTTTAACATTTCATAACTTACTGAAAACTTTGGTGTTTTAAAGACATTTTTATCCTGGTACTGAGCAGGGGAAATCCAAAATTTCAATTTGCAATGCAGTATCCTCTCAACTTTTTAAGCTGAGCCTTTTTAAGTCCCTTCCAAAGGATTTCCAAGCCTTTTGTAGGACTTTAGAACCTTTGAAGTCCAACTTGGCATATATTGTGACTTGTAAATCTTTGTGGGCTCAGGAAGAGCTGATGAAACTGGAAAGAAAAAACATTCTGAAACCTTGTTTAGCAAGATGAGCTTCACAGCAAATTTAGCAAATCTAACATCTCTTAGAATTAATAATTTTATTTCATCAGTATTTCCTATTGTATGGCCTTCAATAATGTTTTCAAATCTATATACCCAGATTGAAAATCTGAAAATGTACTTTTTCAATATGGCTTAAGTCACAAACCAATTTGGGGACTGAATATTTAAATAGAATTTTCAAATTAGTCCTTTTTATATGTATTTTAACACCAAATGGTCTACTTTTGGAAGATCTAATTGTGTGCTATAATTGTTCTGTTGGTAGTAATCATGTAATAGAGGTTGTTAGATTTTCAAGGACTTAAATGCTATTCTTGAAAATATTTTAGTCCTGAAATTTGTTTCTTTTCTGTAAGTTTGATAGTTGTAATCAAATGGAATAAAACAGTAAACTTCCATGGAACTCAGTACTTCTGAGGATTTATCTCAGCTCTTAGAATTTAATTCGAAGATTGTATAATAAGGTAAATTTTAGATGCCAAAATTTCCCTTTTAACCATGTCATAAAGACTGATTTTTGTGGATTCTTTTAAATAAAACTGGAAACTTAAACTAGTAAGAGTAGTAATCTGTAATGATTACATGATCATGTAAACTCAACTCCTCTTTTTCTTGCCTCCTTCCTGAGCCACTGCAAAGAGCACAGATAGTTATGTTTGCTTAAATATTCTGAGATATCAGTGTTCTAATTCGCTGTAGGAGAATGAATGAAAAACCTTAGGTCTGTTCTTCTGGCTCCTATAGCAAGCACACAAGCTCTGTAGGGCTTTCAAAACCCTCTAGGGTAAAATACTGTCTTGGAAAAGTAAAACAGAAAAATATAGTAAACCATATATTTGTAAGGGAACAGTATCAGGAACTGGATTGTTGGTCAGAATTTCCTTATAGACATTGACAGGGTGAAATTTTGCTAGTGTTATTCACAATGCAAATAAAAATTAATATAGAACATTCCCTGACGTAATATATACTGGAAGACAGAAATTACACAATTGGAAAATGTTCAGCTTTTTTTGCCTTGACTTTTTAGTTGTTTGCTGTCAAAAGCTGTAATGCAAGAACAGTGAGATGAAAGGAAAAGGAGTCTGGTGCCTGTCCGTGGTGCCAGCAGGGTTTGTGTCCCAGTGAAGTGCCATCTGACAGGAGAGGGATGCCCTCTGCAGGCCTCTGGCCATCCCACACTGTTCCCTGGCAGATCCTTTAGAGCCAAGCTCTCTGGGAGCAGTGCATGGAAGAGAGCCCAAGCAAACCTTTCTGCCCTGGTGGTCTTTGTGTGTTTTTGTTCAGCATTGCACCCCAGCTCCTGTGACTAAGCCACACTCCATAGCTGTTTAAAGGTTTGTGATGAGGAGTTGAAGTTTATGCTATGAGCTGTTTTGGTGGAAAATTGAAGCCACACACTTGAATTGATCGAATAGAATTTGTGTTCCAATGCAGATGACGTTTTTCTTCTTACAGCTGTTCAGTGCGTTGGGAGCTTTGCAGACAGATGTTGTGCAGTGCCTCTCTAGCAGAGCACACAAGCAACCTCATCTGGGAGTTACACCGTGCAGTGTGCAGCCAACTAACTCAGCTGCTCTGCTCCTCCTCTGTGTTCCAGGTGCTGGTTTGCCACCACTGAAGCTGGTGCACTCCTTCTGTGCCATGAAAGCAGACGAGGGCCCGTGCAAAGCCATCCACATCCGCTATTTCTTCAACATCAAAAGCCGCAAGTGTGAAGTGTTTGAATATGGTGGATGCCATGGCAATGAGAACAACTTCCCAACGCTGGAGGAATGCCAGGAGAAGTGTGTGGCAAAAGGCCAGTACCCATTCTCTCACCCCTCCTACCAAGTCTTCATTTGCATCTGTTATTTCTCACTCACATACCACTTGAATTTGGGAAGTAGAAGCCCTCCTCAGTTCCTATTAATACAGAAATATGATTCCTCTAGTTATGTTCCCAAGTAGGTTGTAGTCAACTGAATTATTTTACATGGTGCAAGCAGACATTCAGGGTGTGGAAAGACGGGTAGGTTTTGTAGTGTACCTGTGGAATAGAGACACAAATGCAAGGAATCTTATTTTCTAGCTAGAGCCCTGTTTTGGATGAGTTCTGAAGTGAAATTGATTTTGAGGCTGGGCTAAGCTGGTGGGTAGCAAAGATGTCCTTTATTGCTTTCAGAGTGTCTAACGCCAGTTTTGAACCCAGGTTTGTCCTTTACTTGAGAAGCTGTAGTTGTCCAAAATTTTGGCCATCTTCTCTGTTTCAGCATAATTACTACTACAGTAGTAGATAATTCTCATTAAAAAATGCCAGTTATAGGCATTTTTCAATTTTGTTTTGTTGAAACCTCCTCAGTTAATCATAGGAAAGAAGAAAATGAGATCTAACATGATGCACAGCACAATGTGCACCGAGGGCTTTGTGAATGCTGGTTTTGCTATTAAAATTCATCCTTGTAATTAAGATTTTCAGCATTGTACATATTCCTCACACACCTGGATGAAAATTAGACTTGTATCCTCTAGTATTAGCATAGGCCTCTTGCAAGCACAGGCAGTTCTTATAAGTTACAAAAAATACTTCCAAGGAATGTTGGATTAGAAAATGGATTTCAGAAGCTCCTATTTGGGTTTTCTGACCAAACCTGGCTGTGTATGTGACAAGGTAATTTATAGCTTCAGGTTTTGTCTGGCAACAAATGCAAATGTCTCTTACCTATTTTTCCATCTCTTCCAGAATTTATGTCTACATAGTGTTTAGATCAGGCTTTAAATCTGTTACGTTGTCTGTTTTTAAACATGTCTGTATTTCCTGATCAAAATTATTCTGCATCTTGTTGCTAAATTTATTTAGAAATCTCAAAGTATGTGTCTCCCACCCCAGTGTTACAATAATGGCTGGAGTTGGTTGCACATTACCCAAAGTAGTATTTCAAGAGTGTTTGTTAGTTTTAATGCCTCTAATTTTATCAATCTGCAAATGTTAGTAAGCCATTTCCATGTTCCTTGAAAGCATCCCTGATCTTAATGCCTTTGGTCTTTCCCAAGAAGAGACTTCACACATTTTATTTACTCCCCACATATTAACTCAAGATATTATTTACCTTTCAGATCTATTTTTCTGATATGCTGGTGCCACCATAATTTCTGTTCAGTTAGGTTTTGCTTTTAAACAGCTGTATGCTTATAAAGCTCTTTCTATCAGGATGGAAAAAAAAACCACTACAAAGTTTCACTAAAAATTGTCAAAGTCAAAAACGCTACTTGATTTTTTTAAGTGGATGACAATTTTCCAGTGCATTTAACTCCAAGGATTAATTTGAAACTTACCTTTTGGTGGTGTCTGGACAGATCCCACTGATAAGCCTCAGCACCTCAGAGGTGCTCCAGGGAAGAAGTGGCAAGGATCAGTCATAGCCTTGCTCTGTTTCTAGATGCAATACATGGGTAAACACTGTGGTAATGATATTAAAATAATATTAATTATTAAAATGGCATCCCATCAAGAAAGAGGTATGTGGAAATCACAGTTCTTTAGGTACTAAACAACATAATCTAGCATTTCAAGATAAAAGAAAAAAAAAAAGGAAGACATGAAGAAAAGCATTTTGCCCTAAATGAGAGCACGCACAAAGCTCAGGAACCTCTGTCCTACTTGGATCTGAAACGGATCTTAAGCAAACTCTTTCTGAAGTGGCTGGAAAGGGAAAGAACCTTTATATTAATGAATTTCTTTTTATGTTGAAGTCTCAGATACTTCCAGAAGTGCAGATTAATATTTTGGTGCTCATTTACCTGTATTTGGTATTTTAGCAATTGGTAAGGATAAAAGCTGTTTACAACACTGTTCCTTCACCAAACTGTATTATTTGTGTCTTTGATTCATCATACCTGAGTTTAAAAAAATACCAAAGTAAGATAAAACTAAAGTCATGGGTTTAAAAATCTTCCTTAGAGAAGATTGTGTGGGAACAGATCTCATTTCTGGGCAGAAAATCAAACAGTGAAGGAATTCATTACAGATGATTAATCTGTTTCTAGTTATGACTCCACCAAGTTTAAAGAGTAAAGTCTTTCATGATAAAAAATTGAAAATTGTTTCCTTGAATAGCATTCAGTTTCAGAAAGACCCAGAGTCTAGGATGTGAATTAGCTCTTCTTTCTCTGATACCAGGCTGGCTTTTGGTGTTTCCAGCTAATATTTGGTTTGGGATTTCAGCAGAACCCACAGCATCTTTACTGTGCTTGGGGTGGGGTTATTTGCACCTGCCAGTATCTCATCCAAAACTTGACACTTCCTGTCACAGGAAATTTGAAGTGTTTGCCCTCAATTTCAATTTAAATCTAAGACAGAGGAATAAAAGGGAAAAGCCTGGGCTGATAGATGCAGAATTTGGAATGAAGTGTCCAAAGTAATAATCAGGTGTCGTGAAGATTTATCACATTATTTCTTCCATCTGATGTTGCTGTTTTCACAGAATAAGCTGAGTTGGAAGGGACTCGGTGTTACTTCGATTCGGACACACATGTTGGATCTGGAACAGATCTGCTAGACCAAATCCTGTACTGGCATATATTTGGCATAACTCTAGAGTATAAAACTGAAAGTTATTTAAAATGAGAACTGGCTTAGTGTCTACATCTTGGTACTCAGCCCATGAACTCTTTTCTGTGTATGAGTAACAGTGATCCAAGACTCTCCAAGAGCTGGATCTGCCTGGAGGAAGAGGAGAAACAAAGGCTTGTGATCTCTGTATTCTCTGGATGGATAACAGCAGATAAAATGATTTGGTGTTACCTACAGTGTGCTGCAGACCATCAGGCATAAAGCAAAGTAAACCTTTAAATTAATCTCTTTTGCTAACAATACAGCAAAACCCTGTATAATTCTGTGAATTTTTCTTAACTCTAACTCTGTCTGTGCAGTATTGTAGTATATAGTTGTATTCATCTTACTTACATTTCCAGCATTTATTACTGTAGGAGATGACTATTTAGTGACTATAGAAATGAGTCTGAAGAGAGAGTATGAGTGACACAAAAGTGCTTAGAAATAAAGAAAAATCTGAAATACTAAATTATCACTTTGAAGAATGTGAAGACCAGTACTGACAAAAATCAGCTCAAGTGCAGCTATCTAATGTATGCAAAAATTCAGAAGAAATAATGTGATGGGTCAAAGCTTTTGATTTTCAATATTCAGAACAAATACAAGAATAAATGAGCCAGCATGAGGGAATTACCAGATTGGGATAACTTGTTAACAGTTTGGAATCAATAAGCCACCAGGCAGAACTGATGGACGTCAGAGTTGAGAGGCCACTCTAAGGCTCTCCAAGACAATGTTCAGATTCAAGATGAGTACTTCTGAATCAAGCTTCCTAGAAATCAGCTGTGTTTTTTGTTTCTTGTGCCCAATACTCACAACTTCAGGGAATGAAAAGGTACTTTCTAAGAGGAATTTGCCTATAGGCTCCATTTTTTGCTGGATGTGAGTATATTCACAAATGTCATCACTTGAACAAAGACCTTAATTTTCAAGGTAGTGAATATACATTTTAGACTAGTTAAGCTTACTACTACAGGAAAATACCTGCTGATAAATGGTTCTGGTCACAATGGCAATTTTAATGTCTATTATTTAGAGTGTATCTACTAAGAAATAGACTTTGTTTACAAAAAAAAGAAAACAACTCAGATGTGGATTTGTATTTTTGACTGAAACCAGAAGCAAAAACACTGTTGACATGGTACTAAGATTAAGATATTCTAGGCCTGTATAAACTCACAATAAAATTTTCCTGTTCTCTGCCAGAAGAGTAGAGATCACATGCCAAAGTATGATTGCTGATTTTGCCCTGAAGGGGACAGCTGAGTGAGATTAGTGAAATGGCCTGATGTGCGTGTCCGTGTTTAGGTCATGGGTTTAAATGCTGAGGGCCAAGCCTCCTACTAATAGGAAAAACTGGAAACCTGTTCAAAGAAATGCTACATCACTCTGAAGTGTGTGCCATGTCTTTAATATTTTTTAAAGGGTAACAGCTGCATTGTCCCAGAGGTGGAAGGAAAAATGTGTCATGACAGAATTTCTACCCAATAGATCTGCTTTGAAAATATAACATCAGCAGGTTTCCAGAGAAAACTAGGGTAGAATTATGATTCAAAAGGGCAGTAAAATACAAAACAAGAATTATGAAGCAATGCATAAAAGGTGACTAAGGCAGAGTCCAGAAGCTGCTGGCCACCTTTCTCTCAGCTGTCAAAATACTTTCGGCCTTTCTCAGACATTGCATGATCTGCTCTGCCCTTGGACTCCTTTGCAGCTTTATGATTAGACAGTCTTCTACAATGCGAAGTTTTGTTTTCAGTCTTTAAAAAGGTGCTTGGTGTTGAATTATGATACCCAGTTTCTTGAGCTGATACAATAAAACCCAGGCTCCTGCATTAAAAATGGTAATAACAATTCGTCACTCCAGATCGTGCATGGAGGGAACCATGCAGACAAAGTTTTCATCTACAGCCCCCTGGGATACCTGGGGATAATTGGCCAAAGGGGCCTTAATATCATTAACTGCACTAGGAAAGCTTCACTCAGGCCCTAGAGGGCAGAGCAAAGGGAATTGGGTAGGATGGGGGAAGCCTTACTGCTCCAAAGTATGAGCTGTATTAGTAGCTACAGCAGTCAGCCTGTTAGTCTGCTAATTACTCCTCTTTTGAGGACTGAGATGGCATGATGCAGGATCCTGGATGCAGTAGCAAGAGGAGTGATTTCCCTGTTCAATTCCAAACTGGCATAATTTGATTTTAGTACTTGCTATATTTTCAAGTTTCTAATACAGCAGGTCCTCCTAGACAAAGGAAATGATACTTCAGTTCACCACAATGAGCTTTTGTGCTACTTCCCAAATACAGAGGAAAAAGAAAAGGAAGAAATTCTGTATTCTTGCTTCTCATTGCTCACTGTCACTGCTAAACACACTGGTATCACAGGTGAGACTTAACATGTCTGCTTTTGCTAAATACTTTTATTTTTATTTATCTTGCAGAATTTCCTCAGAAGATGGCATTAGCAAAAATTAAGAAAGGTAATTATATTTACATCGTAATGTAAGATTCTTCTACCACAATAACGAATGTATTTTCTTTTTTTGTTAGCTCGGAACAATATATAATTTATCTTCTAACAAAAGCAGCAATGCCAGTTTAAAATGAGTTCTTGGGCCAAATCTTCTGTCTTCATCAAAGACTTTGAGGACAGTAGTGGTCACTGAAGATGGTAGCTGCAATCTCTTCTCCACAAAATAAATACATCATGATTCTTTTTCTTCAGTAAAAAGAGGGACTTGGCAGAGATTCAGGCATGGTATAATTAGCCACAATGGGGAGCTCTTATCGTGTATTTTGACAGCAAGCTAAATACTTTGCACTAAATGCCTTTTCACTTTTAGAAAAGTAGGGAAAAAATGCTCTGAAACAGAGCTCTTTAAGCATTATCAGTGGAGGAGCTAGCAGAGGTTAGGCCAGGTGCCCTAACTGCAAATCAAACAAGGGAGCAAGTTTCCCATTCCTGAAGGGACAGAATTTTAACAGAACTTTAAATTCCTGATACCCCAGACTTCCAAAATAGCCAGTGCTAAAGTATTGGGAGTCCCTTACTGGAACACAGCTGGTCTGCTGAGGAAACTGTTCTTCCTAATGAGGATATTTCACTTTAACACTCAGAGCTTGTGAAGGCTTACCCTACCCTTCCCCTTTGCACACTGGAGATGTGCACCTGGATGATGGGGCCAGCCAGAACTGTGGGCAGCCAGAACTCCACAAACACAGACCTGAGTACACTTTTTCACGAGTCAGCTCCTCCTTTTCTGCTTACTCTCCTTCATCCCTCCTTCCACTCAGGACTTCTCGAATGGGTGTGCACTTAGCAACTTGCAGGAATGGAAACATTTGAAAATACATTTTGAAATAGGCTATAATCAAATCACCTGTCTTTACAGAATGGTATTTGGAATATTTTCATATGAGATGATGGTTTTCTTTTCCTGTTTTCTACTGTCTTTTCTAGTCTTAATGTGTTAAAAAAAATTGTGATTATATGTGGAACCTACTAAGGTTGATTTTCCACACACACTGCAGTCTTTGGCACTACTTCCTTTAAGGGATGACTCTAATTCCCTGCTTTTAATGACAAACCAGAACACATCCTATAAAATTCCGCCCATGGCTATCATCAGCATTATTTCTCATGTGCTGTTGTTTCCAATAATGTAGTCTTGAATCTCAAGTCCTTGGAGAAAGATGTGGCATTTAGAAGTACAGTACTGGTTTGTGTGGTTAGGATTGTATTGCCTTTGTGAACTCTCTCTTCAAAAGTGACTATGAAAGTTAGCTATGAGCTCAGCTAATTTGGACTTAATTTTATTTGCAAGAGCCTGCAAGAACCATTTTAGTATAAGATTATTCTAAATTAAAGACACCTGTTTTTAAGAATCTGTCATAATCCTGTAGCCTGCTTTGCACACTCTTATTTTTATCTGCCTTCCTTTTTCAGTTAATATCTATCTAATAATCTCGTTGTGTTATCTCACAGTATTGTGCAATGTTTGAGAGAATTTTTTCTGCAGCTCCTGTTGTCTGTGAGCTCCTAGGAGATGGAACAGGTACTCCTGGTGGAGCCTTGCTGCTCCCTGTCTAGGCACTTGTCTCACCGCTGTTTTCAGCTGAAAGCACAGCACGTGCCTTGCACACATATTTATTGCTCCGTGTGGGCTTAGCTTTCAGAATCTGTGCTGCCTTTGCGTAGTGAGAGAGGTGGAGCACCTGAACTGTGGATTACACTTACTGGCAGAGAAAGACATTTGTAATGAAGAATCAAAATGAAGCCATTCAGGAATGCTGAAAACAGTTGATTTGGTTGCTTTATTCAAGAATATTTTAGTGATTTAATTTTGCATGCTGTGAATATTTTTTTTGCTGTTCATGAAGTATTATAAAAATTGAAATGCAGTATATTGCAAATTAATTCTTAGAAAAACACTCATTATGAGCTATTATAACACTTTGTATAAATTCAATGTGCATTAATACCCTCTAATAATCATGTTGTTCTAGCAATGAATTTGAATATGTACCTACCTAAAATAGGAGTAATGGCATTAACTTCTTTGCAAATTGATAACCTAAATTCTAATTCTAAAATGCTAGGAATTTCAAAGTAATTGTTATATATATATATATATATATATTTAGTGACAGCTGGCTGCACACCATTTTAGTCTCAGTATTTTGTGAATTTTCACAGCTAAGCAAGGCCTTTATATGTTACACCTACTAGGATTTTCTTATATGATGGTTAAGTAGACTTTTCTCAGTAAGTCAGCTCAAATAATCATATTTCAAAATATCTATTATCAAGAACCTGAAAATTCCTCCCATATATTTCATTATTGCTACGATGATTTTAACCATACTATTTTTAAGGAAAAAACTGAATATGGTGAGGAGTTGACTTCTGGGGATTGTCATATGGCTGTGTGTTTTTCTTCCGTGCCAAAGGATGTGATATCATGCTGTGATATTCAGTCAAATTATGCAATATTCATTTGTTAATTTTTCCTTGGTTGATATTGTAGTTAGTGATTGCAAACTCAGAACTGGGACTGAAATAATGTAGAATAGCTGCTCTGTCTCCCTGCTTCCAGTATCCTTTTATAAGGACAAATTGCACTGCTAGATGCAATTTTTCTGTTCTATTTTAAACTCCTTCATTTTTTTTTATATTTGAACATTGCTTTGTGTTAACATTGAGTGAAACATAAATAACAAGGATGTGTACTTAGGTGCAAGTGATCCAGCTGAGTTTCAGGCTTTCTTCAAAATCAGAATAAAAACTAATTTTCAGCTTAGAACGTCAATGTTTTGGAATTTTAAGGACTCATCAGTTGAAATTTTTCAAGATGGAGTTTAGTGGCTACATGAACAGAGCAATAAATAGCTCTCTAATGTTCCAGTTAATTTAATTCCAGTTTATATTAAATATAAATAAAAAATCCAGTTTATATTAAATATAAATAATTAAAAATAGAACAAAATAAATAATTGCTATAATTAAATAATATATCATAATACAATATATTATATATATATAATTATATTTAGTGGTTTTATAATAATTATTGTATTTAATAATTACATATTTATTATTATTATGTTAAAATTATTATTAATTAAATATTATTACAATTAAATAAAGAACAAAAACAGCACAAAAAAGCAGCAGTTATTTTAGCCCAAAGTCACAGGTTTATTTTGTAAAGTTTCTCCAGTTCTGCTGTTGTCTTGGGATGCATTTTAGTTTTTTTCTTCCCCCACCCTGCTGATCATTTAGGATTGTTTCTAGGCCAGCCTGACTTCTGCTTCCATGCCCAAGAGCCGGGGGTCTGCCGAGGGTATTTTACCAGGTACTTCTACAACAAAGAGACAAAACTCTGTGAGGCATTCAAGTATGGTGGGTGCCTAGGAAACCAGAACAACTTCAGGACTTTGGAGGAGTGCCAGACTACCTGCCAAGACAGCTGTGAGTTGGTTTTAATCACTCTTCGTTTCACTCTTGTATAAAAAATGGTGTGTTTTGAAGGTGTTTTGCATGGAAAAAAGGCAATTTAGGGTGCCCTGAGGTGGCAGTAATTTGTTTATGAAATATATAATAATTATACATATTTTTAAATAGAAGTACCAAAATATAAAGTACGGAGTAAAAAATTGGTAGGTACTATTTAAGTAATATTACATGACTCCTATGTTTTTACTTTTCTCATGATAGCTACGCTAAAATCTGCCATTTGTTTGGCTTTATAGTACCATAAAACACTTCTGTATGTTTTTAACCCAAAGGTCTGCAAGTAGTCCTTTCAAACCAAGTCTTGTAATGAAAGAGGTGCCCATATAGGAATTTTTAACTCGCTGTGTATTGCTAGCTTCCCACCAAAGATTCATGGAACACCTGTGTGTCCCTTGGGAATGACTTGGCTTTGCACCTTAGGCTACCAAAGCCATTCAGACTGACCACAGACCAGTCATTTCCTTCCTTGTCCTGCTTATTCCAATAAATTATTCTACATCAGGATACAGTAACCTTCAGAGCTCCTCTCCCTTCACCAAGTGCCTCATTTTATTCATGATGTGAATACATTTTCCCATCGAGAGCCTCCAGACCTTTTTATCTTGCTTGTCTCTAGTGGGCCTTTTTCCAGCACTGTTTCATAAGCTGTCATTTTGGCAAGGGGAACTTGAGCTTATTGACACTTAGAGTAGAAAAGACCCACTATGCTTCTTTTTAAAGATTTTTTGTTTTTAGATTATAAAGATAGACCCATGTGGCGTTCCCCTACATTTGCTGCAACATTTCTTCCTGGGCTGTGATTCCACTTTTACCTTCTGGACTAAAAGCTGCAGAATATTATTTTTCATTACTTTAGTCTAAAATAACACTTTTATGTAAATTTGCATGGACACAAGAAGATAGGGCTGCCATGGTCTAAATAGATCAAAGCTTTTATTTTTGAGATACTGAATCATTGATACCGATTTTTGTTTGGTTTTTCTTAACAGTTTTCACTTCTTTTTTATTTTTTATTTATTTAGCAAATTTATTGCCAGCTGTTACAGCTGAAGAGCATCCCAGCTCTGTGAACAGCAGTTCCCCAGCAGAAGATCATCCCAGCTCTGTGAACAGCAGTTCCCCAGCAGAAGAACATCCCAGCACTGTGAACAGCAGCTCCCCAACAGAAGCACCCAGCCAGTCTCCTGGGATTTTTGGTAAGAATTTCCTTTTGCTGTTCATAATCAAGCCTTTGTTGTTCCTTGATTTGTCCACTGATTTTCCCCATTTATTTGTATGTCACTGGAAATACCTTAGGACAGGGAAGTCATTAACATTAAAAGAAGCTTCAGAGCCACTTTCTTGCCAGCAATACTTATTTTGCAAAAGGCTTACAATTGCAAAGGTTAGAATGTCTGCTGGCAATATACAAATAACCTTGCCAAGCTGTGTATGATTTAAATTTTGCATCAGTAAAATTAAGGAAGAAAAAGGAACCCATTGCAAAGTTGTTTCAGCAACCTGAGTTTCCTGAGCCTTCAGGCCTTAGAGATGTTGCTTGGCAACTGGCATCAGCAGTGGGTGTGAGCAGGGCTGGCAGGTACCAACCACAGCTGATTTCCAGAGCTTGGATGTGTCTACACCCTTGACTGTTTAACATCAACTGTCTCTATTTTTTTTTTCTTTTAGTTAATTTGTTGCCAGCTGCTCCAAATGACAAGTCCAATGCCCTGAACAGGAGTTCCCCAGAGGAGGAGCCCAACCAGTTCCCCATTTTTTTTGGTAAGAATTAGCTTTTGCAGTTTTTAGTCTTTTATATGGATTGCATTTCCGTTTCAACCCATTTACTGACATACCTGAGACTAAAGAATGGGTTTTGATTTTAGCCAAAGGATTTGATAAGCAGAGAAACTCAAAGCAAAAGAATATGTCAACTTGTGGATCTCTCATAAATATCAGCAAGTGGAAGACTGACGTCTCTCTTTAAAAAAGTGTGAATCTCCTAAAGGCCCGATTAATACAAAGAGGAAAAGCAGTGATGCATAATTCTTTCAATCTGAATTAATATTTTTGTGAGGATCTAATAGGGAATTGATTTAAATTCCTTTCATCCATTAAAAAAGAATGACGTTTGCATTTTAGAACATAGCATAGTATAATATATTTAATACTGTAATGTTTGTGTTTTCACTGTGACCATATTAAACTCACTTTTGGGTTGAGTCTAATCAGAGTGAGTATGACTTAATTTTAAACACTTTAGTTAATTTAATTACTTTTAATTTCATTAATTTAAAATGTTGCTCCAAGGTATTTTTGCACTATGTATTATAAAAATGCAGATGGGACTCTGGACCTTTGCTGAGGAGGGATAGGCTTTAACAGCATCAGTAGCTGGACACTGTCCACTGTAGGTGGCTGCTGCTTGCTCACACTGTACAGGGTGATTGAATTTGAAGCGTGTCGTTTTTATGATCCACAGTTGTGCAAGAGGAAGCAACAAACAGTTGGGAAGACCCTGAGCATTCTCACCAAGTATTTATGTTGGTTTTTTGCTTTTGCACTTGCTTGCACTTTTGAGGACTGAGTGATGACACAGAGACTCACTAAGGTTTTTGCATTTTGTATGTTCTGTAAGATAACAAGTGTGTAGGTGGCATTCCTGCGCCATTGCTTAGAATGGAGTGTCTAATAAAGCATGAGTGTGTGTTGTACCTTCTTTTCTGCCTGCACTGTAATCTACAGGCACTGCTGGTTTGATGCACGTTTCTGTACAGTTGTGTTGTTTGTTTACCACATGCGAAGCATCAATGCACTCTGGTATTTAAATGAATGAATATAAAACAGTAAAGCTTTTGGCAGCCTGTTTTACTGAAAACTATGTGAATTACATCAGGTCTGGCAATAAGTCTGGGGGTATTAAGGGGCATTCCCTGAAGGTTTTTATTCATAGCATGAATGCCTGAATCCTCCAAACAGCTAACCCATACCAGGAAAGGAGCATGCCTCACTATGTTTTCTCAGAGGAAATGGAAGGGGTTTTGATTGTGTCAGCAATAGAGAATTTTCCTGCACAGCAGACTTTGAGGGTAGGAGAAAGAGAACTGAAGATTGATGGAACGAAGAGTCAGTGTAGCAGAAGGGGTTGGGTGAGAAGCACAGCTGTGGAAGGACCAGGGAATTTCAGTGGAAAGTCTGAAGGCCCAACAGGTTCTTCCTGATTGTGTGACTTTGTCTTGCTCTTGTCTGCCTCATGCAGCCTCCTGCTCCTGTTCTGTTTATCAGCTTGTGCCCTTCAGGCTGCTGGAATGGGCTACATTCAGGTGCTTTTGTGCAATCCAACTAGAGGGGAAGGCCAAAGCTGACAGCTGATTTCTCCACAGAGACATGGAGAATATTGTCTCCATTGCTGTGTTTCTAGAGGTGCAGCTATCAAGTGAAGTTCCAAGGCAGAGACAAGTCACATAAATGTGTGGGGTAACTGTCTTTCACTTTCTGTAAGGACTAAGCTATTACAGTGACAGATCAATTTGCCTGTGCTTGAGGAGAGGGGCATCAGCCACTGCTTCCCAAACAGTTCACCCTGATCCTCACCTCATATGTAAAGTCAAATTCTGTTTGCTATGTATCTTGGCCTGGCTATGTATCTTTTTCAAAGATCTTTTAAAAAATTAAATATAATTTAGTTACTTTACATTAAAACATGAAAAAAAAAATTACAAGGAGTTGTCTCTTATAGAATACCTCACTTCACAATTGACATGATATTTCGTCTTGATTTTAATAAAAAAAGGGGTTTTTTGGTATGTGTAACTCTGTAACAATATCTGATTTTCAGATTTACAATATAGTTCTTGATCTTCAGAAGATTAAACTGTTCTATGGCCAAATAAAGCAAACCATGGATACAGACATGAAGTTTCTAGCACTCTCAGCAATGAACTTTCTGCAGAGATTGAAGGTTGTTCTGGTCTCACTCTGCTGAAACATCTATAATAACTTTTACTCTCTGCAAACTGAGAAAGAGTGAGGCTAAGAATCAAAGCTTTCGTTTCATGTGATCTGTGGTAGAAAATTGCAAGCACTATACCTACATTTGATTTGTGAGATTTGAGTGGGACACAGGATCAAAAGTCAATTTTCAGCTCAGCAAATTTGGAATAGCACAAGGATGCAGGTCCTGTGAGTACAGAGTCAGGGTCATCTTTTGCTGGTATAAATTGGCACAGTTCTATTTGCTTTCATGGATCTGCACCAATTTATACCTGTGGATTACTGTCAAGTGCAGATGACTCGTTATTTTTGTAATAGCCTGTCCACTTGAAGATTCTTTTATTTTCGCTTTGCTGCAACCAGAAATGAGGAGCTGAAGTCTGCACATATTGAAAATCTGGCAATAAACCTGAAGCTTCATGAATGTCACACACTCATGTCTAGGCAGAAGTAGTGCTCACTGCACTTTCCCTTTCCTCCTGAGATAATTCCAGACTTTTCTAGTGTCAATAATTAGTAGTCTGCTGTCACACAAGCCCTGCAAAGCCTGAGGGATAAGGATTATTGTTGCAATGCAGAGCTTGGGGCTCTTTCTGATAAATGAGTCTGTATCTGGATGTGCATTTTTCAGAGATTCTGAGATTAATCTGTGATTTTTTTGGAGATTATGATCATGTCATGTGTTTATACCTCAGGGCGATGGGATTCAACAAAGGGCTGTATTATAGGAATTGAATCTTAAACCATACAATGGTTTTTTGTGTGTTTTTGTGGCTTGTGGGACTTTTACTTCTTTCTTTTTTTCTTCAAAAAATAAGCAGGAGAGAACTTTTCAACAACTCTCAGGAAAATGGGGTTGTGAAATGGAATAATTTGGGAGAGAAACTCAAGAATAGGCATAACAGCTCAATTTTCTGTTCCATCACATCCATAAATACAGCACTAGGAACTGGAGCTGAACAGAGACAACTCACCTGCTGTAATGATCTGATGACATTGTTTACACACTGTCTCACAGGCTTTCACATTGTCCTGCCAATAGACACTCTGGAAATGATACAGGGAATGTTTTCTGCTTACATGAAGTCAAGTCTTTTAGTAATCAATACATTCAAATAAATTTATAATTTTATACTCTTCATCATAGAGGAAATTATGATAAGTTATTTAGTTTTTATTTTAAAATACTGTTTTGTTGGAAAAAAATGGCTCTAGGTAGCAGAATTAAGAGGTTTTCTTCACAGGCTGGTTTTATCTATAAGTGAAGAACATGCAGGTATTTTGAACATAAAAAAGGAACAATGTTTGGTATTTAGGGCATTTATGTGACAGTAATATAGGCAAGGAATAACATAATTTTTTGGGGAAGAATACAAGAGGGATTCTGAATAGCACCTGGCTCTCTCTGGTGCACTGTACATGCACAGGCAGTCCTTGCTTGCCTCATCGCTGGCTCCATGGTTCCCCCAAATCTTGCAGTCATAGTGGGAGCTCTTTCATGAGGGGACTGTGGACTCCCTGGAGAATTCTACGTGACAGATAAGTAATGTACATTACAAAGTGTGTATTTGGATTCTCTGTTATAATTAACAAGCCTGTGCTGTTTGGCCCTTTGCTCACTGGCAAGCCTTTCTGCTCTATACTTTGTGTGTTCAGAAATTAGCAGGTTTAAATAGGTGAGCTATGCTGAACATTTGCTTTGGAAACTAACATCCTCTCCAGCTACAGAGAGATGAAATCAGCTCCAGGCTCAAGAGTTTTCAGAGCAGTACCAAAAGCATTCCCTGGTTAATTTAACTACCATCTTCATTATAAAAAAAACCCACCAGGTTTAATATAGATTTTATCAATTGTGGACTTCTATTCTGAACCCAGAGTGAAACTTAGTCTTGCAATTGTGAAAAGAAGTTAAGAGGTTCTTATTTTATAACTTGAAACTAATTTAGTCTGTCTCGAAAAAGCAACTCATTATTCGGTTTTTAAATTTCAGATTTTTTTTTTAATAGTGCGATGTTGCTAACACACCACTCTATTTCTTTCCCAGCTATTTGTCATACTTTTTCAGCACACCATTTCAGCTATTATACATTTAAGATGAACCTTTTTTTAGCAGCTGTACCACATGTAATACACCTAAGATGTAGCACATGCTTTTTGGATGTTTTTTCAGCCTCCTTCGTTGCCCAGGTTTTAATGCATAACTTCTTGCTTTCAGCAGCCTATCTGCTTCCCACTTTTGTGACCACAGGATGTCTTCAGCTTTGCTGTAACCCAAATGATTTCCTCAAATGTTTACTGTGTTTTCCCACTGAACTCCTTCTGTGTGGCTTTCTGTCTTCAAGAGTTCACACTTGCATTTATGCATTCATTTATTGCATTTATGTACCCAGTTCTGCTGCTTTCTGAGGAAAAATGATGCTCTTTTGGGTCCCACATAACTGGTGATAGAATGGCTCCCATTCAGCTTCTTGCAGCCTGTGCAGCAATTTTATCAGTTCCCATTTGTCTATTAGTCACTCTGGAATGATAGATGATGGAGTTCTTGCAGGTTTGGGAATTCTGGCACGGATTTCTTCCTGGGCTTGTTGCAGTGCCCAGGTCCTTTGGCTACCTCAGGTTCATCCTCCAGTGTTTCAGTTCTCACTTGCAGCCACCCTGAAGGAGCAAACCACCAGCCTCTCCTTGGAATGGTAAAATCCTGCCAGCAGCACTAACACACCAGCATCTCCATTAATTTGTGGACTTGTTCTTCACCTTCAATCCTTTTATTTTATTCTGCAAGTTGCAGGCTCTTGTTTTATAACTGCTCAATGGTTGCTGACAGACACTGTTACTTAGGTCAAGTTTTCTGTAGTCATTCAACAAACTCAGCACTGAGATATTGAATCTTACACTGGAAATGCTTTTACCTTCTCCTTGATTCCAGAATGTCTAGCAGTGATTCACTCCATTAATTATTAGAAATATTCACCATATTTTTCAAGCTGTCCACGTTTAATTTATTTCACATCACTTTCTACAAATGCTTCACTTGAAACGCCTCAAAATGAATTTGTGTGCTCTCTCCTATGGCAGAAATGGCAATTTTATCACTCACAACACAGGTAAAGGTACAGCTTTCAGGTAAACTTTTGCTGGCAATCCAAAGACAGAATTATGTTTTATTGCACTATTATTTGTTTGCAATCATAAAATGATGCTTATGCCAAGTAGCTTGGATTTTCAGGAGAGCAGAATTAAATTTGTCAGCAAAAAATTTCAAATAATATTGACATAAAACTGCAATGCTGCAGTGTTGTCTCACCTTATCTTTTTGGTACTTCCAGAACCTCCTCCTATTCCATCCTTGTGCATGACCCCCATGGACAGAGGGCTTTGCAGAGCCAAAGAATTAAGATTTTTCTACAACTTCTCGAGTGGAAGGTGTCGCCCATTTAGCTACAGCGGTTGTGGTGGGAATGAGAATAATTTCATCTCCAGAAAGTCGTGTTTGAGGATCTGCAAGAAAGGTATGGGAAGTGATACTGCCCCCGGCTATCCTTCAGAGGTAAATATTGTGCGGGTCAAAACATTCTCTTGCCACTTTTGGTAGTGAGGATTGGCCTGATCACACGTAGGAGTTGGGAGTCTCAGAAAAGTGAAAACGGAAATCAGGAGAGGGACAGAGCTAGAGAAGGAGGGACAGTAAGTGCAGTGTAAAGGAACAGCAATAACACAACTTGGCATTGGTCAGGCATATGAAGATTTTAGGTAAGACAATGTTTTTTTCTTTTTTTTTTTTTAAGATTAATTGAAACAAGCTTGTCACCTATTTCTGATAATCTTGGATGTCTTCTAATCTTGCTTTAATTTTACCTTTAGGATTCAATAAGAAAAAAGGTGAAAGAAGATTAATAAAAATCAAGAAAAAAAGAAAGAAACAGCCAGTAAAGGCCGTGGATATGGAAATCATCCCTGAAATAATGCAACTTTGATTTTTTTAATGGAAATGTGATGTAAACTGCTCTTCACCTGTGAATGAAAACCTTCAGTGTACACCATTAAAATATATTTACTGATTATTTTGATTATATATTACTAAGCTGCTTATTTTTTTTATGTATTCCTCAATCATGATAATAAACATTACCTCTTACTTTGCTACAGACTTTTAAATTGCAATTTGCTTGTATGTAATTGTCAGAGCTGCAGCAGGACAACAAACTACGTGAGTGAATGGTTAAAATGCAGAGAAAATTCAGATTTAATTTCTTACCCCATTATTCTTTTTGAATTCCATTTTTGTACTAAAGAAAGCATAATACTTTTGAAAGAATAATCACCAGCCAAGCACGATTGTTTCAATTATCGATTCAAAGATAGATGTATTGCTATAAAAAGGAAATAGGCACTGGATTTGTTTTAATCAGATTTATTTTAGGTTGTGCAGGCTAGATTTAACACCATTAAAGTGAATATAATTACAGTACGGTAAAATGAATATGAAATCGGAATTAACCCACCAAAATCCATAAAGGGTGTGTTAAAGCTGTGTGGCAAATTTTTTTTAATATTTAAAATTGTATGTGTTGGGGTCATTGATTTTTATCCTTGTTACTGATCTAGACCCATGGCTAAGCTTTACTGCTGAAATTGTGAAAAATTATGCATTCTAAATACCAGAATAAGGGGATAAGTAAAATCAGATTTTTATATTGAAGTTTTATCCTAATCTCTTTCCTGGTGCTGAAGTCCTTTCATGGCTCTTTCAATCTAGGATGCATTAATTCTGACTTGAAAGATTCTCAAGGAGCAGCAGTGTACAGCAGAGAGCACTTACGTAGAGCCTTGTCCTGTAAAATGTATAAGCACCACAGACTACCACTGCAGTAACCACACAAATGAAGTGCAGTTCTGCCAGGAAACCTGTAAACTCCACAGAATTAACCTGGCACTCTTTGACTCCCTGTCTCAGTTTCAATTTGCTGTCTTCCTCTTCTGGTTCATCCCTCTGCCCTTTCTCTCCAGGTTTTCCTGCACCAGGAGCGGAGTCTGTAGGTGTGGGTGCCCTGCACAGCAGCAGAGCAGTGGGGTAAAGACTCAGACCAGCTGGAATCCCTCCTTGCAGATAAGTGGAGAACCCATGGTTTAAACTACTCCCAGAACTCTCCACTTGTCCCATGGCACCTGCCTGAGCACAGCAAGTCATGTGGCCTCCCCAGGGAGCGTGGATTTAGGCATATTTGGGGTGGGAGGGTCAGGATTTGCCCTTATGGTTACCCTGCTTCCACACTGGCACTGCTTGCGTCTGCCTGGCTAGGGATGCAGTGAGGGCACAAATGTCTGCACCTCCCCTTGTCTGCATCTTATGGTCAAGCCAGTAAAAATATCTGATCTTCCACTCTTAGCTGTACAAATTTCCCATGGGCTGCAGTATTAAAACTTACATAATTGCTAGATTACGTGATGTGCCTCAAAGGGAGACCGAGCTGAGGTGACTGCATTAAACTAAAACATCTAGGGCTTTCCTGTAAAAGACAAGGAAACTCATTAAGCCATCCCACAAAGAACATTGAAAAGGATTTGTAAGCTTTGAGATTGATTAGATTACAAACTAGAATGATGAAGTTTCTAAAACAATGTTTTGAAATGAGACAATAGATATAGAAGGACGGGAAAGAAAAGATGGATCTGTATGCAGATTGTCTTGTGATTCCTGTGTCATTTCATGACAGTGTCTCTCCTTCAGGCTCCCTCTTGTTCCAGCAACTTGTCCCTGGCTGCCTGGATTCAACACCTACAAAACCTACATGGGAAAAGAAATCTAGGGAAAGAATCATCCTTTCTGTCCCAGCAGACCCCTGGCTCTGTGGCTGCTCTCCATTTCATAAGCTTCCTTCTTGCTGAGCTCTACTGCCAACTAACAGGGTCTCCTCCCTGAGAGGGATCAGTTGCTCCCAGGACTGCCGTAGCTAGGACAGGACTGACAGGTACTCTCCCATCCTCTCCTACCCTGTACTGAAGAAACTTCTTGTGCTGCTGTAGTACATTTTGTAATAACAGCAATTAAGGGATCCAGCAAGGTCTCTGTTGTGTCACTGTTCAGACAGAAGGGAATTTGTACTGCTAGCATCTCCAGAGTACCTCTGTTTCAACTGACTGAGAAAACATTTCACCGTGATTCATCTGTCAGAGTTGTTACTCAGTGCAATGAGAATCAAGGCTGCAGTGTCACAGACTGTAAAAACCTGATTATAATCAAGGTTTGATCGAGAGTGCAGGCTGCTCTCAGCTGTGTATGCACTCAGTTTGGCTGCCACACCAGCTATCCAGCTGTTTCTGTTTTTGTTTAGCTCTACAGTACGTAGAGCTATTTTTTCCCATAAAAAGTCCAAACTGCACTGTGATATGATCTTCAACATAGCAAGAGGTTTCTTTTGTGCCCTTCTGCTTCATTCACTTCTCCTTGCTCCTGTACACCTATATAGCTGCAGAACAATCAAATCCAAGACTAAGAAGAAAAGATCCACGCATTTCCCAAAGGCAACTAAAGGATGAACAGGGACAGAACAGAGGCACAACACAGGAAAAGGTATGGATCAGGGGCCAGAATGCCAAAGCAGTCAGAACATGAGGCTGTGCTAATGTTAGAGTGACTGTACAGTTCCACTTGATAAGAGTCCATTCATCCAGTCATTTCATTCCAGAATGTTCTCCAGTGGCTTTGGAGAGGAAATGTAGAGTGCTGTGAAATTTCTCCCATGCTGTGTGATAACAGCCAACAAGGTGAAGCAGTTTCACAGAGGTTTGAGGAGTTTCCATATATCATCTGACCTGCAATAACTTGTTATGTGCCCTTAATCCACACAAATGACAAAACAAAATATCTTTGAGAAATAGTCCTTTTCTTCATTCTTTTTTTCTTCACATTTTTACATGTATGCCCTCCTTTTTCTGCTTTCATTTTCTACCTCCTGCTTCAGTTTTATTTCTGGTTCACTTGAGCCAGAATTTCTCCTGCATCTCCAATCCACTCTCAAAGCTGATAGATTTTTATTTACATTTTGAGCAAGTCCTTTTCTTTCTAGCTTCTACCTTCTGAAACTTAGTGAAGGGGACCTAAGGCTTACATTTCCTAACCTGTTGTTTTCAATGGTGTCTCCAAAGAGCGAGCGAGGTTCAGGTAAAGCAGAATTGTGTGGTTACACAGAGCGTAATTCCTGAATTAATTATTACTGAATTAATTAATTCCTGAATTAATTAAGGGGGTGGATCCTTGTGCGGAGCTTCCGCGCCTGCGTTTATGCCCCGGGCGGCCGCGAGAGGGCGCCGGCGGCGCGGCGAGCGCGGGGCGGGATGGCTCTGATGGAACACGGGGAATTCACCGGATTTACGCTCTTTTCTCGCTTTTAAGCCTTCTTTGGTCCCAATGCAGGGAGCTTTGCACATTTAGGTCTCCTTGAACTGCTCCCTCCTTCGCTGTCGGCAAGCGGGACGGCATGTAAGGGTGTGGTTTATGCTCCTGGCAGCCAGGATGGGAAGATGCAGGTGAGACACTGCTCTCATCCTCCTTCGCTGTCGGCAAGCGGGACGGCATGTAAGGGTGTGGTTTATGCTCCTGGCAGCCAGGGGATGGGAAGATGCAGGTGAGACGCTGCTCTCAGAAGTGCAAACTGCACCAGCTGAGGGGTCTCGGGTATCTGTAGGGCACGAGAAACTAAGTTTTAACGTTACCTAAATCAGTAGAATATAAAACTTTGTAAAAATAACCCCCAAAGCCCTCCAGAGCAAGCAACCAACTGAAAAAAAAAACCAAAAAAAAACCCACAAAAAAAGCAACACCACCACAAACAAAAATGCTCACTCAAAACTCCACTGACTTTGACCATCCAAATCAAACGTAGCCTGTGTAATACGTATCCAGCTAATTCAGGAGCTGTGAGCTTGGCTGGAATACATGGATTATCTAAACTAGAGTGTATAATGTACCCTGTTGCAATCTACAACCTAGACCTAATTGGTGTAAAGCAGTGCCACCAGGCTCACTCCTGATGATATTCCTGTCATCTAAAAAGGAGCTGTGAGCTTGGCTGGAATACATGGATTATCTAAACTAGAGTGTATAATGTACCCTGTTGCAATCTACAACCTAGACCTAATTGGTCCTGATGATATTCCTGTATCTGAGATGACACCACGTCTTTTAGAGAAGTTAATTTCCATCACTGTTCAGAATAAGAGCTAATCCCCAGTTTATATGTGTTAACATTGCCTAGAGGTTTAGAGTGCCAGTCCTTAGTTCTTCACTGATTATAACACTCAAATATTCTCCTGTT